CAGTCAGTTAATCGAAAGCGATCGATAGCAAGAGCGGCCGCTCGATAGAAGCAGCACCTTCACCGCCTTCGACCTGCTGCTGGACACGAGTTAATTAAGCCGTTTTGCGTGTTTCAGGGGGCGGAAAACAGATGGCCTCCCAGAAGTGGCAGAACGAAATTGGCCTGAATTACCTAGAAAGTAAAATTTATGTACTCCCGCTCCTCTGGCTTAATGCACTTGAAACTGAAATAAACTTTCGAGAGCCGGCATCAGCAGCTCGATGGAAAGTTATGTAAGTATGGAGCGTTTCGGTTTATCTTGGTACAAGTTATGGTCAATTAAAGGGTGATACGGTCAAAATTTGGTCAATATCAACTTGACGTATTTCTTTCAATTTTGCATTTAAAAAACCTGAACACCCCTCATTTTGAAGGTGTGTGTGTGTAGAATGTTGCTCCTATTTTGATTTTGGAATTCACTCTTCAGTTGTCAAAATGCCGTCCAAGCAAGAAGAGCAGCGTATCAAAATTTTGCTCGCGCATCGCGAAAATCCGAGCTACTCGCACGCAAAGTTGGCAAAATCGCTAAAAGTTGCCAAATCAACCGTTACAAATGTAATTAAAGTGTTTGGGGAACGTTTGTCGACAGCCAGGAAGTCTGGATCGAGGGGAAATCGAAAACCGGAAGCCGCTGAGACGACAAAGAGAGTTGCCGGTAGTTTCAAGCGAAACCCTAACCTCTCTCTCCGAGATGCCGCAAATAAGCTGGGTGTATCGTCTACAACCGTGCATCGAGCCAAAAAACGAGCCGGACTATCGACTTACAAGAAGGTAGTGACTCCAAATCGGGATGATAAACAAAATACGACGGCCAACGCGCGATCCCGGAGGCTGTACACGACGATGCTGACGAAGTTTGACTGCGTGGTAATGGACGACGAAACCTACGTCAAAGCCGACTACAAACAGCTTCCGGGACAGGAGTTTTATACGGCAAAAGGAAGGGGAAAGGTAGCAGATGTTTTCAAGCACATGAAACTGTCAAAGTTCGCAAAGAAATATCTGGTTTGGCAAGCCATCTGTACCTGTGGCTTGAAAAGCAGCATTTTCATAGCTTCCGGGACTGTCAACCAAGAAATTTACGTGAAAGAGTGTTTGAATAAACGTCTGCTGTCTTTCCTGAAGAAACACGGTTGTTCCGTACTGTTTTGGCCGGATTTGGCATCCTGCCATTACGGTAAAAAGGCCATGGAGTGGTACGCCGCCAACAACGTGCAGGTGGTTCCCAAGGACAAGAACCCTCCCAACACGCCAGAGCTCCGCCCAATTGAGAAATACTGGGCTATTGTCAAGCGGAACCTAAAGAAGACCAAAAACACTGCTAAGGGCGAGCAGCAGTTCAAGGCAAACTGGCTTTCTGCGGCGAAGAAGGTGGACAAGGTGGCTGTACAAAATCTGATGGCAGGGGTCAAGCGTAAGGCCCGGCAATTCGGATTTGGAAAAGCGAAAGCCTAACTGAATATTTTTCCGGAATTTTATATTAATTCAACTTGAAAAAGAAATTTAATTTGATTTTTTAAATAAACGATTTCACCGATTTACACGCGTTTTCCCTTGACCAAATTTTGACCGTATCACCCTTTACCACCAATGGGAACTGCAAATCATATTGTCAAAATAACAACAACAGGTTTGACGTCCCGAAAACCGCACAATTTGGCCCCGTACGCTTCGAGTTCCGAAGGTGATGAATAATGCACTGTTTACCTGCAATGTTTATCGACTTTTGAGCTCGTGGAGCGGGGTAAACAAGCTCTAATCCAATGCAAGTGGCTTGCTAACCCATCACCGCCGTTCGAGCGAGGATGTGTGAATAATCAACCACATCAGAGAGGTCCTGCTGTACGGAGGCAACTCTGCAATTGGAAATTGGCACCCGTTCGGAGTGCGTGTATCAGACGGGGATCAAAATTGTAGGTCACGCTCACACCCGAATGAGAACGTCACTAGTAATGATCCACATCTGTAGGATGGGAGATTAGGATGCCACTGCGGGAGTCGGGTCAGTTGCAATTGATTGATTCGATAATTAAATTGCGGTCGAATGAATGATGGAGCGGCTTCGATGTGAATCATGGACGATGGTTTAGTGATTCTGATAGGTAGAGTTCTTCGGCTTTATATTTATTTATTTTAATTTCGTTTCCAGTTTGTGGGAGAATTAAGATCAATGCAGGATCTCAATCCTGCCCTGATCTTAGAATTAGTGCTATGTCTTTGCAGGGACGCGAAAGTACACAGCAAAAAATTAATTTTAATAAGTGGATGCACTTCAATCGTGTCGGAAATTACTTGCCAAAAAGGACAAAATTATCATTAATACAGTGCATGAACTGACATTACGCTCCTTTAACTGCATTTGTTTATTGTTGTGGCCATAAACATTACATGAGATTTTCGCACAGTGGGACGACATCTTTTAAAAAAAAAAATGGGACATGGCCATTTCTAATCTAATCTAACACCAACACAGCCAGTTCCAGTTTACCTACATAATTTTTCTTGTCTATTTGATATATGTTTCACATATCACACACATATCAAAACGGCCAGGCCTACTGTGCAGCATTTAAGGGGCTAGATGATTCAGAAAACATCGGGCCTGTTTAAATCGAAGATTTAAACACGATGCTTCAGAATCCAATAAATGGATGAAACGTGGACATCTCGTACCGTACGTTCCGATTTCGGTAATTATATGATTGGTTGGTCGTTGGAAGCATCAAAGCTAGAAAGGTTAAGTGATGCTCGATTTTCTTCTAACGGTTGGGGCATGAGCACTAACTCTTGTCCTAGCCTTTTATAATTTATGGCTATAGCGCCATTACTCGCTTTCTGAAAAGAGAAGATGGAAAGGAAAAGGAGAAGGACAAAGGGAAAAGGATTATGTGATATCTATGAACATAAACAATATTTTTGATTTGAAATATACAATATAGAAATGCATAACGGCGGTGGTCACTACCCGAGTTTTGTTCTAGGGGTTCGGTGGTAGATCTTATACCAGTAACGCACCACAAAAAGGTGATCTCCCAACTTTATTGGTTTGAAAAGATAAAAATTTACAAAATGGAACGAACCTGAAGGCTGCTTGACATGTGTTGATGTAGAAGTCATGCAGCTTGACGAAGTTCAACATGAACTAGTCCGGTTTATGGTAATTGCGCGGAATGTCTTCCGTCGATTTGAGATAAACATTTGTTCGGATGTATGTAGTCGATTTTTGATGTGCATTGGCAAGCGACTCAACGAATGATGGAACTAATGATGGGACGCCTCGTGGAGGTTCTACTTGGCTTCGGAACAGCTTCTCAGCGGCAAATAATAGGGACCTAGAACTAGAAATTGTATCTCGGGCCTGGTTTTGGCCAGATCAGCAACCGATTATAGATTAAAAATAAACTCTACCGAAAAAACAAACGTCAGTTTCGATCACACGAACAGCCTACGTTTCTTCATTGGTTGAGTACTTTTTCTATCAGGTGAAAATTTTCACTTAATTTTTAAAGACATATAAAAATTAACTTTTTTGATTAACATCTTGTAGATAAAGTTATTTTAAGAACTTTGTCCAAGACGACAACTTTCCATCACTCAATTGAACGTAGTTATAGGGTGAAAATGAAGTACTCAATAAAGTGAGCATGTGACACAGATGCCGCGGATACACTAATATGACAAGGCACTGACATCATGTAATTCCATAGAATTTGACATCCATTTCAGATAGAAACTCCAAACAACCACCTTAAACTGCCGGAAAAAATCTGTTTTCTGTAAGAACGGAAGAACTGTTCCAAAGATCCAGTTCTTTTCAGTGAACTGAATTACTTAGAACCTTTCATTGAAAATAATTGTTTTGCCTATTTCTATTAATTACAGAAGACAGATTTTAGTATATGAACAATTCAAAGAAATTTTGCCTGATAAATGATTATTGGCGAAAAATGTCTCCATTATAGAAACTTAGCCCTGACCATCCTGATTTTAATCAGTGAGACCCACAAAAAAAACATTTTTGAACCTCATTTCCCTGCTGTCAACATAGCACGGTTGTAGCCAATTCGCTTCCAAAACATAATCCAGGTTTATAAGAATATTTGTTTTCATTTCAGTTATTAGTATTTCCACATGTAATCAAAATTCTCATTCAAAAATCCTATCCCAAAATTCACTGAAACATTACCAATCCATTGAACATCGACAAATTAAACGTATATCACATTCATACGCTTCACTAAAACAAACACAAATGCCTAACGAATCGTGGAATTCCTATCACTCGCCACCCCACCTCCAACAGACAAACCCACGACTTTCAAACAACTCTCAACATAATTACGCTTAAGCGGGAACTTTTCGGCTTGCTTCGAACACAACTCACACCCGCAACATTTTCATGTTCGCTTCCGATTGTATACAATCGATTGGGATTAATTATGCGGGCTGACTGTAGTTTCCATCCATCACATCGGCGTCGAAATAATCGAAGTAAATTAGAATTGAAATTAGGTGCTACCTAACCTAACAACGGAAGGCACCGGTTTTCGCTGGATTTTTTTTTTTTTATAATTCGTGACTCATTTCACACACTACGCTACGCTTGCTCATTAATCATAGCTCATACACTCATATCGTCGAGGAGGTTGATTGTTTTCTAAGAAGAAGAAAAAAGTCATGCAAACGTCGTTTGCGTGACGTCAACGGGGTTGAATTCCTTTGGTATTCGGCGTCATCGACAACAACTACAATCGATGACATTCAGTGGAGCGCTGCTGGGGCCAGAAGAACCGGCAACTTTTGCGCACAACTATGAGTCATATTTGCTTTTGAACCGCACACTATAACCAATCAATTGGAAACTAATCGATTTGTTTTCCTCCCTCCCACATTCGCATTTAAACACCCACACACCCACACCCACATATTCTGTCGCTCGAATTCGGGAACATCAAACAGGTCGTAAGCGCGACGTAAACAATCTCTATCAAGTGATCTACTACGGTGACTCCCAGGTCGAGGTCGGGCAGCCGTTTTCGATCTCGTGCATCATCTCGATCGCCGATCCGATCGAGTGGCACAAAGATGGCGAACCGATCCGGAAGCACAGCCAAATTCGTCACGGCAAGGACGAACACTCGTACATCGAAGGCGAGACAGGAATCGCAGGTAAAAGAGTCGCGAGCGAGATGGGGAGAATACTTATCGCTTGTCACAGTTTTGTAGAAACGCAAGGAAAGAAATATCCAACAACATTCACTGTTCATGCCGAAAGAATTACATAGTGCCATATAGCGGCCATGCCGGATGGTTCATTCCTGTAGAAACGCTTGCTTGATTATTATGATTATGTCCATTTTTGGGTTGACCCACAACGCAGCAGCAGCAGCAGCAACATTGGAAATGGCGAAAAGATACTTCACCAGTATTATTTAGATTTTAACACAAAATCACAATGGGACAAATTTATGCATCAGTGAAAAAGGTGCACAATGACAGATGATGAGTGCTTTTCCCCACTACGCAACAAATCCCAACGAAAAATCCATCGGATGGTGAAAACGCAGACAACAGGTGCGAATGTTACGCCAGTGCGATTTTACGACTGCGTAACATTTTCTCGTTTTCAGCAACGCCCACCCCTTATCCTCCCACGAAAGCTAGTGTTTAGTTGATCCCACGAAGTTATTTGCTTTCTGTTTATTTATTTTTTTATTTCGCTTGGCTCATACCCTGCGGCATCAGCAGCATCAAAGTAGACACAATTGAATTCTAATCGAATTCTGGCGACCGCAGCAACGGCCGCCATCTGAGCAAGTAGAACACGCTTTTATGCAGTAGTTGAACCATCATCCGTTTCCGTTTTTTTGCGTGCTATGTCACTCGAGAGAACCATTGACCGATTGGCAACAGAACAAAGATGGAACCTAAGAGAATTGGATCACTGGAAACGCGGGATGTGCTCGAATTCACAAATTCCACTCAGAAAATGTCAATGGTTCAGTGTCACATAGCATCACAAACCCACCCATAGACGCTTTCATGCATAATAGGTGCACGTTCGAACATTTTGGCCATTGCGTGATACTGATGCGATTATATCCCCTTTCTATCCGAAGGCGTCCGGAACAAAATCGAAGCCGAGATTAGCGTACAACGTGCCCTACCGAAGCACGAAGGCCGCTACCAGTGCAACTCGCTGTACCCCAACTATCACATGCTGTACATCTATCGGAACGATACTGCAGTCGGAAGCAGTGGCGGTGGAGCTAGTGGTAGCAGTCACGAACGAACCTCCAGTCAACGGGGCAGTGATTCGGCTCTGCTGCTGACCACGATTAAACCAACACTGATTACCGCAATCACAGAGTCCCATCACCAGCTGACAACGTCCGGCACGCTTGTTTCCCTCAATGCCCATCCCATTCCACTTGACTCGGAAAAACAACATTCCCAGCACCATCACCACCAGCAGCAATCACATCATCATCATTCATCGAGCGATAAATCTGCGAAATCCGACGACAAACAAAAGGTCCCGCATGCTTTCAAGGCAGATGCGGTGCGATTTATGAATAAAAATCAAGATCCATCTGCAACCAAGGACGAAAGGTATGACGAAGGCAGCCTGCTTCTTGGAGGCCAGCTTAATAAGGATATGAAAGAAGATGAATACCCAGATACAACGGGAGTCGGTAGAGATAACGATGATATTGCCGATAGCAAGCACAATGCCGACAAGGCCATTGTTATCCTCGATGAAGATGGATACCCTGCTTCCGGTGTAACCATTCCATTGAATCCCAGCGCAGATGAAGAGTCAATCACAAACAATGATAACGTTCGAGGGGCGGACGACGACGACGACGACGGCGTCGAAGATGTCGACTCCAGTCCCGACGAAGAAGCGTCCATTGTTATTGAAAGCAACCATGGTTCGATCGAGGACAGCATCGATAAATTGATTATGAATAAAAGCGAAATAAATGGCGTTATTCGGGTCGACAGTGCCGAAGACTCACTCCATCACCATTCCAATCGAAAGCTAGACCGCATTCGCAACGAAGAGACCTTGATCCCTACCATGGCTAGCTCAACCACGGCTCTTATGGTTGTACCGACTACTACCGCTACCACTAGTACTACGACCACGACCACCACTACCACTGCAGCGACAACGACCACCATCAAACAAAGCGTAGTGGAACAATCTCACGGACACCACCACCATCATCATCGCGGCGAGCACGAGCAACAACAGCAGCACGCGACACTCGCGGGTGAGGATCGTTCAAAAGACATTCTTTGGTTCCGTTAATACCCTATGTATACTTATTACTGTACTAGCTAGCTAGAGCTCAATCAAAATGCGTACACGCAAACGCAGTTACGTTCAATTCGATTTTTGTTTTCTTATTCTATTTTTGTAGTTCAATATCAATAGTAAGAACTGTTGAAACTGTAATCGAATTACTGTTTTTTTTTAATTATCGCTTGTATTCGATATTTGATTCTTGATATACAGCCATATTTTCTCAAACATCATCAGTTACCTACACCACGAACTCATCAACTCATCGGCAATAGTAGGTAGAGCAGAAGCAGAAGCAAATTTGAAACATCAAAATGAGCTTTGACAAATTTTTGCTGCTACATTTAGCTTCATATTTTTGATAAACATTTTTAGTCTTCTCCAGCACTAGTCGTCATTATATGTGTGAATGTTTTTGTTTTCTCTATTATTCTAGACTAGGTGCTTGAACTTGATCAAAATATTCTGAAACATAAACGACGGAGTAGGAACCTAAAAATATTTCCAAGAAAGAAAGCAATTTGTGAGCATGGTCAATTAATAATCGTTCGACCTGGTAGACAGTATTTACTGAACTGAACAGTCATCGTGTTGAATATCTTAAATGGAATATGCAGGGTTATTGATCTAATTTCCGTCTATAATAAGCACAACCCGTACATTGCTTCTCAGTTTTGAACGAATTTACACTGAAAATGTATTTATTTCCTCAAGAATGAATTCAAAATTTAATTTACATACCATTTAGGGATAAAAGGTCGAAAGCCAAAGGTAGAAAAGGCAAAAAGTAGAAACGACAAAATATGATTTTATACTATTTTCGCTTCTTTGTTGAAACCTGCTCGTTCTTTAAAATTTGGTTTTCATTGACTTAGCTGTAATTTTGAATCACAGACAAGCAGACAAAACTCTTGAATATTGTTCATCGAACACGCCTTTAACGGCCAATTTATAAGTTTTCCTAGCTTTGTGGTATTCTTACCACTTACTTACTTACTACCTCCCTGTGTAAAGCTGAAGCATGTACGTAGGTCAATAAATATATTCCTTATACCTCCGAGGAGGTACCCGAGCAAAGTCCATGGCTGGTAGCAGGTCACTTTTTAGTGGCTAGGTCACTATTTTCAAGTCAGTCACTAAAAAGTCATCTTTTTCATCATAAAGTCACTAACGTCAATATTTCTAAAAAAAAAACTCACAAAGCACTATATTTTACATGTATTAGTTTTTGAAAATACTTAAATATTGTCGTTGACATTTAGAACAATTTGTTTTTTTTTTTATTATAGAGATTTTAAACTGGAGAGTTCATTCGGCTCTTAGAAATATTTGATTATTTTTCAAATTTAACTCAGCTTTCTAGCCCGTTGCTCCCAATATGTTAGCTGTTTTACTTCGTGATCTCCGTGATTGTTTGTTTTCAAGGAATCTATGCAGAAAAATAAGTGCATAGTGAGGAAATGAAAGTAAGAATTGGACCGTTTTCTTGCTTATTCAATTAATACTGATTTTTCAAGAACAAATCAATGGGATCCTTAAACCACTTGCTTTATTTTAATGAATCACGACAAATGCTCATGATGGGTTTCAGGGCTGGCCTCAGAGTGTTTGTAGAGCAACTTTTTACATGCATCGCACAGTACTCGGCAAAGAGAGTGTTGTTTTCACATTTATTTGCACTTTTTTTTTTTTAAATCTAGTTAGTTTATTTGGAAGGCTCAATCGCGTTAGCTTTACGGAGTTGATAATTCATTGTTCTTTGTTTGTAACAAAATTCACTTAATTCTATGTCGATAAGGATTTGGGCCCAATACTCGCGGTTTACCCGAGATTAGAGAGGTACATTGTCGAAGGATAGGATCAGGGGAGGAGCTTGGGGTGGAGTTTCGTTGTCTCATCAGAGCGTTGTCGCCAGTATGAACGGTAGTGCGGTTCTAGATTCGTCTGGAGTTCGACTGGGTATGGTGACCTGTGGGCGACGATGAGACTCGTTGCTTTTTAGTGACTTGGTCACTTTTTTCAAGCTAGTCTCCTTTTTTAAGGCCCAGTCACTAAAGTCACGTTTTCTTGTAATCAGTCACCATTTTCAACTTTTGTAGCGAGAATTTGTTTCTAGATTAATCAATCTTCTGTAGGATCAGATAGTCCAATCGATGCCTACATGTTGTTTTAATTTTCGAATAATTCAAAAATGTGTTGCTTCTACAGAGCTTTTTGACGTTTAGTCGTCTTTCTTTATTTACATAGTGTCTTCTCATTTGGCTTAATAGAATTCCCTGATCTTTCCAAAACTTTAACGGGTTATTTCCAGATTTATAATAAGAAACCTATGTTTAAGATGCGTTAAACATATGCTTTTTTTTTTGCTACAACAACATGATAATCAGTTTTAAAGAATCAGCTCAATCATCGAATCTATTAAATGTTGAAGTTTGAATTTGAGCAATTCTAAGACCTCAAAATATTATCTTCTGAAAATTCGTTTTGCATGGACAAGTTTAAAAAATTAAAATATTTTTCAAAGTGCCAGAATTAAGGGAAAATAAAATATTTGAAGTTTGTAATTAACATTATAAACGATTAGAGATCTTCAGTCCCATTTACTTCACAACAATTGTAGGAACTTTACAAATGCTCTGAGAAATGAAAGGAGTTGCTGAGAATTTCAGCGAAGCTTCATAAACAAACTGCGGGAACATACGGGAAGTTAACATCCTGAAAATATGGTTAAGTCAGAAGTTCCAGTTAGAAGCTTTAAGAGCCACTTCAGAATAATTACATGATGTGCTATAAAAAAATCCATAACTCTTAAGATATTTCGAGAATTTCAGGGAAGTACGGAGACCTCGAAAGAATTTCTGAAAACTTTAGAAAAATTCCAGGAACTTCACGGAAGTCCAGAGAATTTCAAGGAAATTCAAAGGTATTTACGGGGATTTCATTTATTTCAGAGCAGAACCTAGATTTTCGGTAGAGTTGAGGGATGCTTCGAAAACATCAAGACAGATCAGAGAAGCAAAGGACAGTTCAAATAATTTCAGGAAAATTATAGACGTACCTTAGAGAAGCATCGAAAAACTCAGGAAATTTCCCGAATATTCAGCAAAGCTCCGTATTTTAAGGGTGTTATATCATGGATATTTCAAGTACCTCAACAAAATTTCGAAAAATTAGCTTTAACTATAGAAAATCATTAAAAATTTTATATAAAAAATGCGAGTAGTTTTAGCAAGCACCGATTCCAGAAATTCCAGAGATCTTCTAAGAAATTTCGATTGTTTTAGATAGTTTAATTATTATCAGAACAATCCCATTAATTTAAGGAAATTTGCAACGACTTACAAAGAGTTTAATGGAATTGCGGGATATTCCGAGAATGCTATGATTGATCCAAATACTTCAAAAGCTTCAGGGAGTTATTATTTGTTGGAACATTAAACAGATTTAGAGAACTTTAGGTAAGCATTAAAAACTTCAGGAATGCCCAGTTTAGTTCAGGGAAAATTAGTGATTTAAGGCAAAGTTCCATGAGCATTATTTAAGGAAAATTGTGGAAAATTCAAGGCAATTTAATGAATTTCCGTTACATTGTGAGTCCTAATCTAATCTAATCTAACACTAACAAGGCCAGTTTTTGAAAGCATCCTGGAAAATGATGGATATACCTCCATCATTTTTCTTGTCTATTTGATATATGTTTCACATCGAAAATGCGTCACACATATCAAAACGGCCAGGCCTACTGTGCAGCATTTAAGGGGCAAGATGATTCAGAAAACAACGGGCCTGTTTAAATCGAAGATTTAGACACGATGCTTCAGAATCCAATAAATGGATGAAACGTGGACATCTCGTACCGTACGTTCCGATTTCGGTAATTATATGATTGGTTGGTCGTTGGAAGCATCAAAGCTAGAAAGGTTAAGTGATGCTCCATTTTCTAACTCTTGTCCTAGCTTTGCTAACAATACCATCAGATAGGGGATATTTTCCTCTACCTGCTAGTGGTGTTAGTAAGCGTGTGCGAGCTACCAGTTACGCCAAATTGGCAATCAAAAAGCTGATACGTCCCTTTGAAAAAGTAATCGAGAAATAAGATTTATTATATGAGACCACGTAGTCCTACGTCGCCATTGCGCACAACCCCATAGGACGTTCCCTTGTAGTTTTTTTTTTCAGAATGGCATCCTTGACATTTTCTGTAATTTGCAGTAATTTGCGAAAATGTCACTTGTGATCGAAATGGCGTCTGGGACAAAGTTGTTTTGAAACGTAAAGCCGTGCTGGGAAAAATATACACAGTAATTTTTTAGTAGCTTCGAGAAAAAATTCAAAAATTTAGTTAAAACTGGAATATTTTAAAAAGTATATGTTCAGTTTCGTCAGTTTTTTTTTTTTGGATTATGGTTCAATGAACAATATCGAATACGACATTTGAATGTTTTTGCGAGATACAAAATGGCCGAATTTCAGCTCACATGTGAATGATGGACCATAACAAACAATTATGCACGGTTTCTTCCAAATCGGAGCAGGTCGAGAGTTGGTTGGAAATGCTAACATGAAGCTTTAGTGTGATGATTTATTAGCTATAGAATGATCTTTTAGAAGACGGTAGGTGGATAGTTCCGTTAGAGTACGGCAGTATGAAAATTGAATAGAAGTTGAAAATGAGCGAAGGGCCATTAATACGACAGTTTTTAAAGATCGACGCACACGACGAGCCGGAAATGTTTTGTTATTTGGCCTGGAAGATGAAATTCATGGTAAATTATTGGTGATGATGATGTCAATGTCGATGTTAAAGATATTGAGGGGATCAGAGGAATTTTAAGTTAAAGTTTTAAATTGGTAGGGTTAACTACCCCATTTCCGGCCTATTAAGCACAACCCGCACTTAGTCTTTCTTAATCTAGCGCAGTTTAGCACCAAACGGAATGTTATTTTTACTGATGGCTTTCAAATTTA